CAAGATGGACAGGTCAAAGTGGAGAGTTTTGACCAAACGTGATCCACCTGGAGCAGGAACTGGCAAACCACTCCAGTATCCCTGCCAAGAAAACTCCACGGACAAAGACAACAGGCATATAAAAGATATGACGCTGGAAGATGAGCCCCTCAGGTCAGAAGGTGTCCAACATGCTACTGAGGAAGAGTGGAGGACAATTACTCCCTGGAAAAGACCCTGATGTTGGGAAAGATGGAGGGCACAAGGAGAAGGGGACGACAGAGGATGAGATGGTTGGACAGTGTTCTCGAAGCTACCAGCCTGAGTTTGACCAAACTGTGGGAGGCAGTGGAAGACAGGAGTGCCTGGCGTGCTCTGGTCCATGGGGTCACGAAGAGTTGGACACGACTAAATGACTAAACAACAAAACTTCAAATAGCGTGGAAATCCTGGAGAGACATTGCTAGGCAATGAGTAAGCAAAACTGACTCAGCATAAAGCAGGTTTCCATTTTGCTACGTTCCTACTCCTCTTCGATTGATTTCACCACAGGATTTTAATCACCTCCATGGGACCAGGTCCTTGGCTATTTCATTTCATTCTGAAAAATTCCAAATCAGCTTAAAGGTGGGTTCTCGACCCACAAGTCTCCACCTCTCAATTTGCGCATGGAAAGCAGAAGCTGTGCAATTACACGGCACATGAGACAGCCAAAAACAAATGATCTGAAGTGGCAATTATGTCCACGCAGTGCCCACTCCCCAAGCCTCCTTCTATCGATTCCCAGGGATTACGGCGAAATACTTCTTTTGCTCAGCACTTTGAAATTGCCCTTCCTTGTATTGACTGAGAAATCCTGGGAACAATAAGTCCAGGGGAGATAAGCATTTATGATGGATGTGTTGAAGGGCCGGGTGTCAGCGACTCTGCCAAGAGGATAGTTCAAATATAGATTTGGGCTTAATTGGGAAGAAAGCTAGGATGTCCGTGGCTGGAAGCAAGGGAGAAGCCAAGCAGAAGGAGATGTTTTGAAAGATAAAGGGCTGGCAATTCGGATGCACTGTGGGACAAATTAAGGGCAAACACTGCACCACGACATCTACAGGAGCTGCTTTATTAAAACGATGTGGGAGCCACCTTCAACTTCGCCTTTCCTGGCACTTTTTCCTGGATCCTCCTTCTCCCTCTCACAGGTATTGGATCAAGAAATTGAGCACAGAAATAAAAGATACAAATTTAGGATCTTTTAAAGATCAGAAACCATTTCTAGTCTATATAAAAAGCTGTTCCCCATACACGAAGACCACAGCGGGAATTGAAGTGTGAGAAAACAGCAGTGTATCATCATCATCAATTTATTATTCATACCCCACCCATCTGGCTGGGTTTCCCCAGCCACTCTGGGCTGCTCCCAACAGAATATTAATAATAAAAAAAACAACAACATCAAACATAAAAAACTTCATGCTGCTGTTAACAGCAAAAGAGAGGGCCTAGCTCAGTCAGTAGAGCATGAGACTCTTGATCGTAGGGTCAGTTGGACTAGATGACCCTTGTGGTCCCTTCCAAGTCTGCAATTCTATGATTCTGTTCTTCTAAGCCAGGCTGTTTCTGGCAGGTGGTTGGTCACCCTGTGGCAGAACTGCTCTGTAGAGTTGTGTTTATATTGCAAGGATGAGGAATTTCCAGCCCTCCAGATACTCTTGGACTCCAACTCCCATCAAATAAGTGAAGCCGGGTGCTGTATTTGACGTTAACATATGAGAGTGCTGGAGGTGAAATAGTTAAATAAGTTACCCAATCAGAACCCACGGGGGTGGATTCAGAGGGACTATAAAACCAGCTCTGGGAGGGGCGAAGTGGGGAGTTTGTTGGGAGTTGGGTAGTTGGTTGGAGTGGGAGTGAATTGGGATAGAGTCTGTGAGCAGGTTGAGTTAGTGTAGCGAAATAAGCTGAGTCAGGAACAGTTAGGGCTAGGAAGGCAAGTAAATATCTGAGATGGTTTAGTGAGTGAGAGCAGGTAGCGGAAGTTATAGGTCTGGATAGGCATCCCATGATTGTACAGTGGTACCTCGGGTTACATATGCTTCAGGTCACATGCGCTTCAGGTTACAGACTCCACTAACCCAGAAATAGTGCTTCAGGTTAAGAGCTTTGCTTCAGGATAAGAACAGAAATCGTGCTCCAGTGGCACGGCAGCAGTGGGAGGCCCCATTAGCTAACATGGTGCTTCAGGTTAAGAACAGTTTCAGGTAAGTATGGACCTCCGGAACGAAGTAAGTACTTAACCCGAGGTACCACTGTAATTGACTGAGACCGTTTATGAAACCACATGCTTGTTAAACTGCAATAAATAAACAGAAGTTTATGTTTCAAGTTAACTCTGACTGGACTCAGTATTTTACCAGGTAGGGCCTGGGTGGTGGCAGAGGGATCAATAGATGGTGAAACGTCCGGGGACCCTGTATGATCGCCACACAGTGTTCCTTCAACATCTGAAAGACCTCATCTTCTCCATCCCTGCTGTGTGGCAACAATTTATTATTTTTTAAAGCAGCTCCCCTGCCCCCCCTGCATGTTTGAATAGGTCAAGTGATACCCTGTGTGTGAACTGGCTATTCAGATTAACACAATGTCCTCTCTATTTCTTCACTGCGGCCTTTGGGAGATTTCCGTGGAAGCTGACGATTCAGCCTACCTGAAAAATTCCTCCTTTTCTCCACGGCCTCCCACCGCCACTGCCATTCTGTGGGAATACAGGCCCCTGAGTGAATACGTGAATGTTTCCTTGGCTGCTGCCCAGAGCAGTGAAATTTGCTGCCTCGGGGTCAAATGCTGCACGAAACCTCCTCTGCCTTCAGGATAAAATCAAATACATTTTTGACCCAGTTCCCCCCCCCCGCTGCTTCCCACGGCGACAACAAAAAATGCATTTCTGAGAAGGAGAGCAACCCAGGAAAAAAGAGCAAGAACGCGTCCCCTGCGTTATAATCTTAAAAGCAGACAGAGTTGTGTCTGTGAAATCTTTGTTCAGGCCTCGTCTGCACTGTAGAATTAAAACAGTATCTACAATCATGGTTTCCCCCATTAAAACATCTTGAGAACGATAGCTTCTTAATAAATGTCTGGAGACAGAAAAATGAACATGTTCACATAGCACATATAATAATAATAATAATAATAATAATAATAATTTTTTATTTGTACCCCACCCATCTGGCTGGGTTTCCCCAGCCACTCTGGGCGGCTTCCAACAAAATATTAAAATACAGTAATGCATCAGACATTAAAAGCTTCCCTAAACAGGGCTGCCTTCAGATGTCTTCTAAAAGTCTGGTAGTTGTTCTTCTCTTTGACATCTGATGGGAGGGCATTTCACAGGGCGGGTGCCACTACCGAGAAGGCCCTCTGCCTGGTTCCCTGTAACATGGCTTCTCGCAGTGAGGGAACCGCCAGAAGGCCCTTGGCACTGGACCTCAGTGTCCCCGCAGAATGATGGGGGTGGAGACGCTTCTTCAGAGATACTGTACTGAGGCCGTTTAGGGATTTACAGGTCAGCACCAACACTTAGAATTGTGCTTGGAAGCATACTGGGAGCCAATGTAGTTCAGAGTTGAGTTGCAGTTATGTGAGTTAAAAGCTAGAAGAAAAACTGCAGCCTGGAAGGACAGGGAAGGAGTAAGGTTTGATTTCTGTTTGAATCAAAGACTGCGGCTACGGGAGAAACAAGACCATCTCGGGGTGTTCACGCTTCGAGTCCCTTCCTCACAGGCTCAGATTGTATTTATGTGTAAATAAACCATATATCCTAAAAACACCAGAGTCTCCGCTGTGCCTCATTCCCAAAAGAAAACACGAACCTTGGGTAAGCATGCAACAATATAAATTTCGTTCTCTCTTGTAATTCACAGTGAACTATGTAATCTTTTGCTGCTGCAAAATGCTTTCAGCATGGTTATTTCTTTTTTTATAAATATATATATATTTTTTGTTGCAGTTGCTGTTGCCGCTGTTCGTAAAAATAATAATATCAGAGTGGTTTACACTGAAAAAAACTTATGGAAATATTCAAATAAGAAATTGGTTAACTGTTATGGAAAGATTCTTAATTGACTGCATAATCTTGAAGGAATAGGGAGGGAAATGATGCATGAATAAAGAGTTATGACAACGGTGGAGGTGATGGTGATGATGATAATGATGATGATGATGGCTGGGTAGGGCCCAGCAGTTCTGAAGGTGTCCCTGGAACACAGTAGCACCCAAGAGAGTGCTCTTTGCCTCTCTAACCCCCCATGCAATTGACCTGCATAGGATTTATGGGGCTCCATGAACTTCTGGGTCAGTTGCAACAGCTCCAAGTCTTGCACCTCCTTTTTCTTAATTGTTCGGAGCTGAAGGCAACCTCCGTCCTTATATTGTGCCAAACGGACCTTGCAGCTACCTGCCAGCCAATCCATGCTCCCCACTTCCTCTCCGATTCAAATGCTTAAGCATTGCTGTGTGTGCTTCACAAAACCCTAATGGACCTTGGTGTCATACTGAGGATTCTCTGCACGGATGAGCACCACTAGGGTCGGGGCGTTGTGGGATAACTCCTGGAAAGGAAACCCCCCTTGAGCCCCTTTTGCAGCATACTAACAGTTGTCAAGTCCCAACTGTCCATCTGTTTAGGCCGAAATCTTTGTCGCGGCTAAATTGGAGCAATTTAGCCAATTTGCTGGTATTGCCGTTGTTAGAATATTGATGCCCATTGCTCCAGCTGGAAAATGGTGGGTGCTGTCTTAATCGCACAAAACCACTTTGCAGATTAAGTTATATTTCTAAACCAGCAGATGCCGCTTCCTTCCACCTTGACACCCCCCACCCCCTTTCGTATCCATCTGGTGCTTTAGACAGCCATCTCCTATAACGGAGGTCTGGCAGGGTTACAGCAGAGGCCTCCAGTTAGAATAATAGAATTGTAGAGCTGGAAGGGACTGCAAGGGTTGTCTAGTCCAACCTTGTGCAATGCAGGGATCTTTTGCCCAATGTGGGGCTATAGCCCATGACCCTGAGATTAAAAATTTCATGCTCTACCAACTAAGCTATCCCAGTTGTAGTCCCTGGTGTAGAAACAGCAGAGCAGAACATGCCTTCCATTGCAATTTTAGGACAAGGGAGTGGGCAACCTCAGGCCGTCAGTGTCTCTTTATCTGGCCCTTGGGACTCTATCCAGGCCACACCTTCTCTTCAGCCACACCCACTTTCCCCAGGCCACACCCTTTCCTCTCCTCCCCAATTTGCACCCAGAGTGTTCCCTCCCCCGAACAGGAATGTGGCCTTGAATACTGATAGTGCCCCTTGTTTGCTGGGATAGAGGGTTGAGAAGGGTGTGTTTAGAAACTACCCCATTGTACAAAGGTGAAAATTTATATCAATTCCTCTGCCTACTTTTGGAACTGGTCCTGCCCACCAATGGCATGTGCCCCCCCCCCCCCTGAAGACTGGCTAAAAGGGAATGTGGCGCTCTGGCTGAAAAGGTTTCCCTGACACCCTTTCAGGAGGAGAGCTGGAATCAAATTTCCTCCCCAGAATTCTCCTGCACAGATCTTACTGATCATTGTCAACTATTCACTGGATGTGTGCCTTTCGTTTGGCTTCAGAAATATTCAATAACAACAAGTATTTATTATTTAATAATAATAATAATAATAATAATAATAAGAAGAAGAAGAAGAAGAAGACTGCTTCACAACCTAAGGGCATCATTGACACCATACATTTAAAGCACAACAATACCACTTTAAACAGGCATGACTTCCTCCAAAGAATCCTGGAAGCTGTATTTTGTTAAGGGGTGCTGAAAGTCGTTAGGAGACCCCCCTTCTCCTCCCAGGACTACAATTCCCAGAGTTCCCTGTGAAGAAGGATTGGTTGTTAAACCTGATGAAATAAGCATAGCAAAAATGCAGCGAAGAGGCTCAAATCATATATATGACTGACGCCCTTCTTTGGAAATCAAACCAAAGTCCAGACATTAACATTCAAAAACTTTGCTTGCAGAAACTTATAGATGAATTAAAACATAATATTTAAAGTCACATGCTTCTCCAAGCATGGGCTTACAGTCTCTTCTTCTAACTTCCAAACAACTGTATTTCCCCCCCCCCCCTTTCCAGAGCTCAGGACTTTCAGCCTTCCGTATCGCCGTTAAGGTTATGCCTTGCAGCTCCTATGGGAGTCCCACTTTCACCTTCTCCTATAGCTTTGCTTTCTTTCTTCCAAGCAGAGAAGAAGTGCTCCCACACTCTATTCAACTTAGCAGTGTTCACAGTGGATTCTAAAACACAGTAATCTTGCCGCACACAAATTGGAGTATCTCCTTCACCGAGATACCTCCCATGTGACCAACATTAGCCAATCACATGAGAACTCTCCAGAATTCAGTTACCAACTGTCAGGGGTTCAGAGAGAGAGGCACAGGGTAGGCAGGAGATGGAGAGCGAGGGGGAGGAATTCCAAGCCAGCGAGGAAGAGGATGACAATGACTCAAGGGATTCCATGAGTCTTTCCAGCGAATCAGAGGATTCCCAGAGGGGGCGCCGGTGGTCAGGTCCAGGGAGCCCCAGGGGGAAGTGTCAGGAGCAGGGTGCCAGCGGAGGATCCCAAAGTGGCAGCTGGGCGTCAGGACCAGCCGCCCCACCAAAGTGCAGCGAAGGGGTGGAGTTTCCAGTGTGTCAGAGGAAGCAGCTCCAGCAGCAGAGAGAGGAGGGGGTCAGAGCAAGCCGCCCTCCCGGAAGGGGAGGAGCAGTGAAGGGAGTAGTGTAACTGTCAAAAGGAAAGTTAGAGGTTTGGCGCGCGCGCCTGGTTCAAATGTAGAGGCGCGCGGAAGTGCAGGGAGCCCGGAGGAGGGGCCAGGTCCCAAAGCCCGCAGGAGGGGGGAAGAGCAGTCTGGGGATTCAGCGTCAGAGGAATCCAGAAGGGGCGCAACCCCAGGGGGCAGAAGGACCCTGCGGAAAAGGAAGGAGAGAAAGAGGTGGAGCAGCGCAAGTCTCTTAAATTGGTGCAGAGGAGGGAGTGACTCAGAGGGGACTTCGGCGGTCTAGCGTAAGAGACGTAAGGCTGCGCGCCTAGGATGTCAAGCAAACCATGAACTGCAATAAACACCTTTGTATACAAGAAGACGTAGGCGTTGGTCTTTTGTGAGCTAAGACTTGAGGCAGCCTTGACACCAACCAATCAAATTTAAACATATAGTCATGCATACGAGCACTTGCAATTTCAGTTAATTAAATTACTGTACTTAACAAAACCGCTGTGGAAATTGTACCTCTGTGAGGGGGAATAGGAGTCTCCTAATAACGCGGGCAACAAGAGACTTGGGTAGCGCTGTGGGTTAAACCACAGAGCCTAGGGCTTGCCAATCAGAAGGTCGGCAGTTCAATTCCCTGTGATGGGGTGAGCTCCCGTTGCTCGGTCCCTGCTCCTGCCAACCTAGCAGTTCGAAAGCATGTCAAAGTGCAAGTAGATAAATAGGTACCGCTCCGGTGGGAAGGTAAACAGCGTTTCCGTGCGCTGCTCTGGTTCACCAGAAGCGGCTTAGTCATGCTGGCCACATGACCCGGAAAAACTGTCTGTGGACAAATGTCGGCTCACTTGGCCAGTAAAGCAAGATGATTGCAGCAACCCCAGAGTTGTTCGCAACTGGACTTAACTGTCAGGGGTCCTTTACCTTTTTAATAACCCCCAGCAACCTGAAAGAACTGGAGCTCCCAGAATTCTTTGGGGGAAGCCATGACTGTTTAAAGAGATATCATAGTGCTTTAGGCTTCCAGGTGGAAAAATCAAAATTAGAAACAGAACTGTTAGAACCCAAAACTAAGATTTTGTCAAAGATGTATAACTTGCTGTTGAAATGGAATACTCAGGATGAAACAGTGAAATCTGCTATGATTAAATGGGCACAAGATGTTGGACATAATATAATGATGGCTGACTGGGAACAGTTATGGACCACAGATATGAAGTTTACGGTATGTAATGCCTTAAGAGAGAATATTATGAAAATGGTATACAGGTTGTACATGACTCCAGTCAAGCTTGCAAAAATCTATCATTTGCCCGATAATAAATGTTGGAAATGTAAAGAAACTGAAGGTACATTCTTTCACCTTTGGTGGACGTGCCCAAGGATTAAGGCTTTCTGGGAGATGATTCATAATGAATTGAAAAAAGTATTTAAATATACCTTCTTGAAGAAACCAGAGGCCTTTCTCCTGGGCATAGTCGGCCAATTGGTGCCAAAGAAGGATAGAACTTTTTTTATGTATGCCACAACAGCAGCAAGAATACTCATTGCAAAGAATTGGAAGACACAAGATCTACCCACTCTGGAAGAATGGCAGATGAAGGTGATTGACTATATGGAACTGGCGGAAATGACTGGCAGAATCCGGGACCAGGGAGAAGAGTCGGTGGAAGAAGATTGGAAGAAATTTAAAGACTATTTACAGAAATATTGTAAAATTAATGAATGTTAGAATGATGTTGGATAGAAATTAAGTGGTTTTTAGCTGCAATACTATAAGGGAATATGAAAAATGGATTACTAACAGGTAAAAATTTAATGTTACAATATATTAAGATTAATGATTAGGATAGACAAAGAGGGAAGGATTTGCTGAACCAACAAACCGAACTGGAATACAAAAAAGGGAGGCGTGAGGAGGTCCGGGAAACAAGCTAATGAAAAATAAGTAATGGAAAGATTGAGTTGTTTTTAACTATTTTTATTTTTTGTGTTTTTCTTTTTTCTATTTTTATTTTGTAATATTTTGAAAATCTTAATAAATATCTTATAAAAAAATATATCATAGTGCTTTAAGGGTACGCTGTGAATGGGGCCTTGGTGTCCTTCAGATGGTTTGGACCACAGCTTCCCACCAGCACCAGCTAGCAGAAGGTTGGTGAAGGATGTTCTTCTGTTGTCTGCTGTGGTGGGTGCACATTAACATGAAACAATAAAGGATCCTCTTCTGCTATAGAACTACTGCTGTATGCAGGTTTAATCAATTCATTGAATAGCTGATTGAAACTAATTAATTAGACTAAGAGTTCTTTAATTGGGAGGAAGCCTTAATTAGAAGCAAGGTTTAAACAAATTTGATCCTTGTTAGGCTTCCATCAAGCTCTCAGAGAGAGCTCGCAGCTGGAGGTCTGGGGGGCAACGCTGTTTAGCTGCTCAAATGGGGAGCCGACTTGGCAGTTAGAACTTCAGAGGTATAGCACGGTGGTAGAACACATGCGTTGAGAGCAAAAGGTGTTGGGTTCAATCCCTGGTATCCTCAGGTAGGGCTGGGAAAAACTCTGGCTCGAAACCCGGGAGAGGCACTCCCCAGTCAGTAGAAACAGGGAAGGAAATTTGTTTCAGTTCATATCTAAAGGTGAATGTACCAAATTCACGCTTTCCAAAACTGAAACACAGCCATCTCTCAAAATTTGCACCGTTCTGAATGTTGCAATCCGGTTCTGTGCCCAAGGAATGAGTACCAAATGGTGCATCCCTAAAATAGGACGTTCTTGCAAATGCCTGTACTAGTGAAAATAACATGGGAAATTGCTACACAAAAATGTCTATATCAGAGGAAATTTGAACTAAAGTGTGCTGAAGTTTCACGAGAACTTTTCAAAACAATAATAAAAAATCTGCAAACTGATGGAAATTTGAAGAAGTGGAACTTCAGAGGAGCAGTGAGCAGTTGAATGAAACTGTAACAGACTTGTTTGCCCAGCTGTACCAGTCAGTGTGGATATTGGATTGCACTGGAAAACACCCAGAATGTGAACAGCGAGGCACAATTTTATGTACAGATCGCAAATTTCAACCCTGAAAACTTGATGTTTGAAAAGTTTGGGGTGAAATTGGAAATTTTTACAGATTGGCGATGCTTAGGGATTTGTTACCAAGTTAAGTCTAGCTATTACTATTAGTATATAAATCCGCTAACTAATTGAGGCCAACTGACGTAACCATATCTGTCTTCTTGACTACTGTGAAGTGCAGAACTTGGCACTTCTACAAGTGAATTGTTTGTTCCACCCTTCTAAGGAGCT